CTGGGACACTATTTCTATACCGGACTAGACCCAGTCCTGCAGCAAGCTCTTTGAATGCAGACCCTGGTACTTTGGGGCCCCGGGTGGGTGGTCACAGGCATCTCTGGCACACAGCTCATTGCTGTACCAGGGCCTTAAAGAGAAGAGTGACTCCTATTGAATTGCCATCACAAGTTTTTGCAGTGCTTGCAAAAGAGGCCATCTGATTAAAGTGCTGGCCAAGCCTGTCCCTGTGATAAGATCACAACCTGAAGCGCTGTGGCTGCAGCAAGGCTGTATCTTTACTTGGAGATATTTTATACCTAAACCGCAGCCTAGCCTCTCTTCACATTAATCCGGTTTCTTCAGGAGGCGGGAGGGGAGTCGAGAGGTGTGAAAAAAAGTCATTTCTGTGATCCTGAGAACCAGGACACTTTTGCCTCAGAGACTGGGGAATCTGTTTAAAGATGGTGCATCCTTATGCAAAGGTTGCTAATAACACCCATGCCAAGGTCAATGAGTCATTGGGATATTTGCTTTGTAAGTGGTGGTAGTGCAGAATGAAAGCTTCCCGGTGGAAGTTTTTCTTGCACGCCCGCCTCATTTTAGGGGTGGGGGAAAAAGCTGTATTGCAGTTTGCAACCGTTACTGGGATCCTGCAATTAGGTGTACAAATCGAATAGCATTATGTGGTAAGTTCCTTGTTCCTTGTGTCCTAGAACTCTATATTTCAGGGAGACATTAACAACTTGAGAGGGCCCAAAGGAGTTTAGCCAATATTGATATTAAAACAGGCAACATAACATTTGTTTGTTCCTGTCCTTCCCGCTGTTGATGTGTGTTGGGGGCTAAGGGCTGACTGTGTTCCCTGTCACTTTACCAGTAATTGGAGCAATTAGGCTGGAGTCTGGGCGAAGTGCCATGGCTCTTTCTCAAACACACCAGCCACAGAATAAAACTTTAAACAGGGAGCAGTTTTGTTTGGTCAAACAGATTTTGTTTATTTGTCCCCCTGCACCCCCGATTTGTCAAATGTGTGTAAGACTGGGGGTTCTAGTGCGATGTTTCATGCCAGCATCAATGTTATGCGAGTCAACCGTTGTCAACTGGGGAGGGATCATTGTGGAAATACTGACAAAAGGTTAACTGCCACTGAGCAAACTGGAGGCAAAGTTGAAGATATGTAACTCTGATAAACAGCGAGACCTTTAATAGCTTGACACCGAAAGAGGTTTTAACCATATTTCATTCACATTCTTCCCATCATTTTGCAATTTAAAGTAAATGTCATTTCTTCTTACACAGTAAGAAGTAGGCACTGCAGTTCATGATAGTTTAGAATTAATCATTTGGAGATAGTGACTGCTAAATTATTTCTGCCGACGAGGTGGGAGTGCATTAGATGTATTTTCCCCCCTCTCGATTCTTAAAACTTATTATTTTCTCCACCCCCATCCCAACAAAATATAGACAATTCTTACTCAACGCACTCAAGTCCATCCTTAACTTTGAATGTGAGTAGTTGCTGAGAGCAAAGTGCTCTGTAATTGCCTCATGATTGTAGAAGGGATTTTTTCAGTAACATTGGGGACAGCTGTGTTGCACAAAGCAGTACATTTATTTTCCTAAACTCTACCTTACTCTGTGGGGACAGATGGGATTTTTGCTCCCAAATTTTATTTGTCTTGTTTTGCACTAATATTAAACATTGTTTTATTGACATTGCAGGAGCCCCTCATATCCTGATCATGGCCCGCAACCCGATAGGTGCAATACAAACACGCAATAAAAAGAGTGCCTGCCTCAAAGAGCTTACAGTCTGAACAGACAAGAGGCAACAGATAGATCCAGACAGTCAAACACAGGGAGCGCACAGGAAGCAAGGAGACAGTGTTGGTCAGCATTGTATCCAACAAGAGATTTTAGTCCCAATTCTTCTCATGAATAATACATTAGTGAAATTCACCCGTGTTGAGAGCTGGTGCAAAGGTCTCGCTAGGGGCATCACTATTTTGAGAGTAACGTGGAGCATAAGTGCTGCATCCTAGCCCCTGTACAAAGCTCAATTCCATCCAATGCATGTCTGTACACAGGGGGGTGTGAAGGGTGTGAACACCCTCCATGGTCCCCCAAGTAAGCATGAGAGGGCGCCGTGGCTTCCTTTCTGGTGATCCGCGGATTGAGCTCAGCTCCCCACCTTCCCCCTGCAGCGGGGAGCCCACGCTGCACTGCAGCCTCGCCTTCCTGGGTGGTTGGAGTGCCAGCACCAGCTTCCCACTGGGGTGTGCGGGAAGAGAGAAAGCCCCGAGCCTCACGCGTGATCTGGCTCACGGGGAAGAAGTGCTCTCCCTCTCCCAGCTGGGGGAACAGCAGCATGCAGGCGCTTGTGTGCCAACCGAATCCAGCCAATGGGAGCAGTGGGAGGTAGTGCCTGGGACTGGCGTGGGGTGCAGAGGCAAGTAAGTGTCCCCCACCCCCTCATGCTCAGACCCCCGCACTCCCAGCCTGCTCCTGCATGGTTCCTCCTGGCCAGATACCCCACTCCCAGCTTGCTCCTGCACCCTTCCTCCCTCCCAGACCTTGCACCCTCACCCTCCTTGCATCCCACCTCCTACCCAGACCCTGCACCCTCACCCCCTCCTGTATCCCATCTCCTACCCATACCCTGAACCCTTATTCCTCTCGCTGGCAGCCTTGTCCTGCACACTGAACCCCACATTTTTGTCTCAACCCCAGAGCCTGGGAGGGTCCACAAAATCCAGTAACCCTGGAATCCCAGAAGAGTAAATCTAGCCAATAGCATCCCACCTCCTACCCAGACCCTGCACCCTCACCCCCTCCTGTATCCCATCTCCTACCCATACCCTGAACCCTTATTCCTCTCGCTGGCAGCCTTGTCCTGCACACTGAACCCCACATTTTTGTCTCAACCCCAGAGCCTGGGAGGGTCCACAAAATCCAGTAACCCTGGAATCCCAGAAGAGTAAATCTAGCCAATAGGAAGCCTTGAACCTCAGTCCTCCCTGTCCCTCCCCCCCTCCAGTTGTTGCTGGAGCTCCAGAGGAGTCAAGTGTCTCAGTTGGGGGCCACATCAGTGAGGGTTGGGGGTTTGGGGAGGGTTGTTTTTGTTTTGTTTTTTTGCTTCTCATGTGTGGTCTCCCAGGGTATGTCTACACTACCCTCCTAGTTCGAACTAGGAGGGTAATGTAGGCATACCGCACTTGCAAATGAAGCCCGGGATTTGAATTTCCCGG